TGAGAATGAATGTTTATTGTTGATGAGAAGATACATGTCTGTACTCTGACAGTTTCTACTTTCATTTTTACTTCATGATATAATGATTAGTGTGTGCGCTTGTCTACATTATTTTAATCTATATAAAGTTATCATCAATATACGCTTTCTTTTGTTTTGTATTCATGCATTAAAATGTATAGATTATCATTTCAATGCTTACAGGTGCACTTTCTTTTTTTCCTTTTCTTTTAGCTTCTTTTTCTGGTAAGAAAATCATTAAGCAGAAAAAACAGAGTAGAATGCAACCATTAAAATTAACTTTTATAGATAAATAATAGACGTTGATTAAAGATATTCAAACGCAAGAAGAGTTATGTTTTCTATATTTCTCATTGTATACATTCATAATTATAATTATAATTATAATTCATGTATGGATTCTCTAGTATGTCATAATGAACTCTTTTACCTGTTACACTCAAATATATATACATATTTATCGGTGTTGATCAAACAATAAATTAACATTTTGCGCTGATTAGAGATTGAATAGTGGATGATAAATTCATTTCTCTCTGTTTTCTATTTCAATATTAATACTATATCATTCAAATCGATCGAATAGATCAGGGTTATACTTTCGGATTAACGATTTATCTGACTAAATGTATAGATAAAGAATAAATTTTTCTTTGTGTTTGAATGAAATTCTTTTTTTGACTTCTATGTTTGATATTTTTTCAAAATTGATCATCAAATATCAAGTCTAAATTATATAAAATATAAGATTCTTTATTTAGAAATGCTAAAAAAGAAAATATATATATATATATATATAATTCTTTAGGCAAATTATATTTGCTTTGTATTCAATATTTAAAATTGTGTAACTGCTTCCTCAGATCTCATGCGATTAACAATATTAGCATTTAATGTTGTTTTTTGATATTCATTAAGAAGTTCTTCACGTCGTCGATTAAGTAAATCAGCTGCACTATGTTCAATAGCTTCTTGATCTACCATTGATGCAAGTAAACCACGATGTCGACCCATTATCATTGTTATAATAAGTATTATTTTACTTGTTGATGAAAGAACAGTAGAAAAACTTGATGCTACATTAGGATATCCAAGTGTTAATCCAACTGTTCCAAATGCTGATATTATTTCAAAGATTACTTTAAATACAGTTATATTAGGATCAACAGGTGCCATTCGACTATTTTCAATAGCACATATAAGAAATATAAAAAAGAATAACCAAGTACGAGTTAAAATAACAAAACTAAATGTATGTTTTATAAGAGCTCGTGCAAAATAAATAAAAAATAAACGACCACGTAAATATCTCAAACGTCGAGGTCTATGATTTGTATCATCTAATAATGTTGTATCAGTAAAATGTTTTCGTGCAAGATCTTTAGTAACTAAACTTTGTCGACGTAGAAAACGTTCCATACGTCTTATAGGTAAACCACCATTTGATGGTAATGATAAACTCGATCCTAATCGACTATTACGTAGAGGTAAACCTGAACTACTATTTATATTCATTATAGAATTTGTTTCAGCATTAGCTTCTTCTCGTGCTTGTAATGCTAACCAAGATAATTCAAATGGAGATTCCTCAAGAGCACATAACATTTGTGGTTTAGTTGCCATTAATAGCAGATATACTAATAATGTAGCTGTAGCAAATAAATTTATATCAACTGTTTGAAAACCAGCAAAACGTGTATTTGCTGCTTGAAACATAAATATGAGAAAACGTATACCTGATGGATACATTGTAAAATTCTCACTATTTAAATCAAGTATAAGTGATATACCAACACCCAATATGTGTAATAAAACTGTTACAAAGAGATAAATACGAGTTTGTACAGCAGGAAAGAGTAAAGTAGATAAACGATGATTATTCAGAAGAATATAATCAAATATAACCTTATGACGCCATGGAGATACACAACGTGCCAATAAAACTACATTTCGTAATATAAAAGGAAAAAGTGATGTTCCACTTACAACTAACTATAAAAAAAAAACAATTTATAAAAAAAAAAAAACATAAAAATGAAATTATTTACTATTATAATAAACAAATTGAGATAAATATCCCGAACAAAACGTGAAAGACCGTCTGAAAAAGGTGATAATCCATTTTGATTAAAACCTGTTACAGTAACAATAAATGAAATATACCATGGATTAACACTAGAATTTCCTTGTAATAATTGTTCAGATGTATATTGTGTGTCTATCCAACTACCAATAGCAATGAATATTATTGTATAAATTGTAAAACAAGTAGCAAGAATAAGAACGATACATGTTATATAAGCACGATAACGAAGTTGTCGTGTTTTCGGCAATTTTGCAAGTCGATTTCGAATATGTTCTGGTAAATTTCTTTGTCGCCGAATATTAACTGTTGGTAATTCATCGCTATTTTCATCATCTAAATCTCCATGATCATCATCAACCGTTATTCCTTCGACTCTTCTATGTGTATGAGCTTTAACAACTAATGCTGGTAATGTACTAATTGTAACACCAGATATAAATGTAAAAAACATTAGAACTATTTGAGAAGCTTGGGAAAGTTTTGCAAAATCTATTGTTGTCAAACCACAACTAGATACACATGAACTACTAACAAACCATGCATCTATATAGTCAACTTTAATTTGAATATTTCGTGCAGATGAATGATTTTCAATAAGCCAAACGATCAATCCACCCAATAATGCACTGATAATAAACCAAACCATATGAATATAAAAATAATAGCTCATCCTCCAGCGATATCGTCTATCGTTTGAAGATGTGGGTTGTTTTGTATCATTAGCCGTTGCTTCATCTTCTGCAATGCCAGGGACTCGTGATATTTGTTGTGGTTCAATTTGGGCCTGTGATTGCACATGTGATAATATGTTAGACACAAAACTATTGGATCTTGAACCTGCTTGAAAACTGGCATTATCTATACCAGCAAGACTTAATCTTTCAGCTGCAGCAGCTGTTGCGAGAATATACGATGATCGCCTCTCGAGCTGCGCATCACGAGTCGTCAATAACATTTTTCTATAGTTCGCTTGTTTACGCTACTGCACACTTTTGATTGTATCATCGAGTCAGTACACTAGATATTACCTTTATATTCTTTATGAAACGAAGCATGACACTAATTTGATTCGTGTTTTTTTTCGCAATATTTACTTCATAAAAAAATATTGATAAATTGATATATATTTTTACGGTTTGCAAGGTGTACACAATAACATCAGGAAATCAAAACAAAAAAGCTTTGATTGTAGCGACTATAATATTACTAGTAAAATATTACATAGAAGAAGACTGTTCAGTGTCGATAACGAAGTATGCATAACATTTTTCTGTTTTCTTGATATAAAGAAAAATATTGCATTTTTTCTCCATTAAATATGCTTTTCATTTATTTGTAAAAATTATGTTAAAATCTAACATATAAATAAGAAACGTAAATTTATTTTTATTGTATAAAACAAAGGCTATGTTTGTCCGTGATGTCTCGTAGAAACATAAAAAGTAGTTTGTTGTTGTTACATTAAAATTCTGATTTAAATCATGAAATAATAACTGAGAAAAAATTGACTTAATATAAATAAGTATTTTTTTTGTTATGTTTATCGTTATTGACAGTTTACAAGGTGACTATCTTATGTCATTGCGCAATAATATTTTATTCTAGGACCTTTATGGATTTTCAGTTAGAATAATTGTTCACTAAGTAGAACATGAAGTACTGATGAATAACTTCCAGATAAAAATGTTTTGATTCATAATATTAATTAAATCATACGTTGAATATTTTTGTGTAATATTTCTCTGTTTGTTGATCTTTATTACTTTTACAACTAGTGAAAAAGTAAGTAAAATAAAAGTGAAGACATAAAGTTTTTGTTTCTTTCAATTATGAATCCAAACAAGTTGTATTTAAATTTAATTGAAAATTAATATTAAAAGAAAATATACAAATCAATTTTTATCAATAACACATAGAAAAAAATAGGAAAATTATTATTATTATTATTATTAAAATCTTTTTAGAAATTGTCAAACTATCGAAA